ATGAAATGCAGCACAGCTGCCAGTATTCAAATGAAAAGAGGAAAGAAAACAAGGGTATGTCGTTTTGCAGAGCACTGGAGGGCCTCTGCCGCGCTAATGACATTTTTCTCAAGCATGACTGTAAAAGAGTTGCTGAAAGAATAATCTCGAAAAAAAAATGAAGGGGCTTTTTTTTTTGTAGCATGAAATATTAATGACTGAGCATTACTTATTAACACTCAGCTGATGTCCTCATTGGTTTGATCAGATTGGTTTGACAGGAAGTAATCAAAATTGTTCCAACATAAGCATACAATTGGATGTTTCTCGTAGTTGCTGATAGCAAGAAGGTGATTAAAGAAATGTTTTCAGGGTCTTATCATGAGAAATCAGTGGACGTTCCCTGTATTTGTGCTATATATGCTAAGCTATCCGGCTGCTGGAGGCACCTTCATATTTACAGAGAGTGGCATTGATCTTCTCCTCTTTCTCTTGGCAAGAAAACAAATAACCATATTTCCCAAAATGTCAAAATTCTCCTTTCACACCAAACTTTTGTCGTTGAGTTAGAGCAGGCAGCACTTTAATTTCACACAGAGGATTCGTGGCTTTCACCCAGGAAACATCCTGTTTTTTGTGTTTTTGATGTAGAATCACAAATAAACTGGAACAGTAGGCTACTTATGTTTTGGGTTCAATGTTCATTGAATTTTAGTCAGCTTGCAAATGAGAGTTGCTTCAACATAAAAAAACCTTTTAAAAATGTATTTACATTCGTGAGTCAACCCACCTTTAAACTTGATATAACTCAGTATTTTATAACACTGGCACATATATCACATTAGTTAGTCTTCAGAAAAAACAGCATGTGACTTCACATGAACATATTTCCTTTGGTATTGCTTCACCACACCAATCAAAACTGAATGTTAATTTACCAGGACTGTGTAGGTCATTTTTATCAGCAAGAAGGCTAAGTGGTGAGGACCCCCTGGGCCTGAGTTGGGACATGAGGTCAAGCCCCGCACGTCAGCAATAATTTGCCCTGCTGAAGTCATTGAATACCAGCTTCTGGGTTGTTGGACTGCAGCTCTTCAACGGAGAGAGAAAGAGGAGAAAATGTAGCCTGTTTATGGTCTTAAGGACAGGTTTCACAAATGATGGGTGGTGATTTGATAATATGTTAACACTTTATCTGACTATTTGGTAAGCAGAGAGAGGATGTAATGTTGGGATTATGTGCTCATTAAACCCACACTTTATTGTGGCATTCATTGATTTAGAATACAATCCATCTCTTTTAAATTTTACATTTTTTCTTTTAAAATGAATGCCTTTCTCTATATATTGTTCTTTAGAAATGGATGCCCAATAACCTTTTAATGTGCAGCCACAGTGTTTTTAATGTATCTCATTGAAGATCACTGCATTTGATCTCTTTGAGCTTGCTGAATATACACAAATTCCAGAACTGAACTGAGCTCAGAGCGAGGTTAATCACGTCATACGTTGTTCCATCATTGAATCAGTTGATTAGACACAGATTTGAAGTGCAAAATGAAAGAAACGGTTCAAATTTGCTCTGGACTTTAATGTGCATTAAGCTTTGTCAACAGATCACTTTGGAATTGTGTCGCATTTCTCCAGAGCCAGTGAAACAGCAACCATCCGAGAAGCTAATATAATGTAATATAAGTGTGACTGAAGAAAAAGAAGACATCAAACTTAAAGAGAATGCTTTCTCTCCGGTTGTTTTCTTGAGATGACCTTAAAGTCTTGATCATTTTTTGACAGGAAACTTTTATTTGTCTGCTCTCCTCTATCTTTCCTTCACACACTCAGCCTCCTGAATTAATTATCATAAAGAGAGAAACGCATACATTTTTTTATGTTGCTTGAAGCAGTGGTTGCACTTTACACTGTGCCAATCAAAATGTTCTTTTAGTTCTGCTTTACAACTCTGGCACAAGAAAGTAAGAGTCTACACTCTTATTTTATGCAGACCACAACACAGCAATCAAAACATTGCCGCAATGGTTGAGTCAAACAAGTTGCCACTGCAGCATCAAAGGCTTGAAAAAAAGCTCATTTGGGATGCGGTACAGTGATACACATCATTTTTTTGTGCATTCAGAGTGTGTATGTATATATGTATGTGTTTGTACTTCGTGTATCTTAATGAGTGATAAAAGAAGTGCAGCCGTCTGAGCTCTTATTGCCAGACAGAGACTTGCAGAGGATTCATTTGTTGTACAGACCAGTTTCTGTTTTTCTCCCAACTGCATCATTTTTTTTCCTCGGGTGAACACCCTAAATTTGAAATGCTTGTAAATCATTTGCCTTCTTACAATCATAATTGTATCTTTGAGCTGTCACTGCCTGTCTTCTCTGTGAGAGGGAATTATTACTATTTTACTGTAAGTGTGCTTAAGTTTGTTGTTCTCCTTATCCAGGAATCTTTTTTTCTTTCACGGTTAGAACTCCGATGACTTGTGTGCAGTCTTTTGAAAGTACCCACAGTCTCACCTAAACACAGTGACATATATAATTTAGAAGTGTTCAGCATGTTACTGAACTCGTTGGCAGCATTTACTGCTGCCTCCCTATGAGCTACGATGTCAGGCTTTAAATTAGTTGCTGGCTCCACAAAAAAGTTTGATGTGGTAAGTTTATGGGTGTGAAAACAGGGCATTGCGGTTGTGTAGACGGGGCAGATGTAATCCATCACTAGCACACCTTGCTTACAGAGAAGAAGAACATAAACGTCTTGTTGTCTGTATGGACGAGTGCACATTCACACAGTGCCCACAGGCGTACGTATAGGCTTGTTACATTTGTTTTGATTTAAAGAAAATTTCTGGTTTATTAATATTATTACAACTTGGGTCTCATTTTTTAAGGTTCTTGCCATATTTTTTATCTGTCACAATATCGTCAAACTCACAAGGAAATCGCTGGGACACAGCTTCAACAAAGTCTGATTGGGCAAAAACCTTGAACTGTCAAAACAACCAAAATAGATAGAAACAAAAATAAATGTATTTCCAAAAAGGAAAAGTTAGGATAGGCCCATGGCTATTGGACCGCTAGCAGCTAGCAGCAAGCTTCCAGCAGCTCTGAACCTGAACTGAACCAACTTCAACGCCAACAATGAACTACTCTCGACTGAATTCTATCCCTCGCTTTTAAACAGACAAACCTGAGTTGGTGCTTAATCAAGGAACCTATGTAAAAACAGCATAATTTCAAAGCATTACTCTAACATATAAATACTAACAATATAAGTTGTTTGGTGTACTTTTTGTATCCCCCCACACATGGTACAGTCTGAGTTCCCTCTACTACAAAGCCCATTGGAAGCTCTCACTTCCTGTTTGGCAGGTTAAACCCATGACTAGCAGGTAGGATGGATGAGAGCTCATGCAACAAACATTTTCTCAATTGACGTTGCATATAGCCAATGAATGAATTTCAATGGTATGTTTTTATAAATGTATTGAGTCATTATTTAATTAACAATGTGAATGTCCACATTATGCATATTAAAATAACCAAAAATGACTAAAGAACAACTTTGTAAAATGAGACGTCAAAATGTTTTCTTAAGATTGAATCCTATTTTGTTGTTTATTTTACAGTATTTTTCTCGAGCTCTTTTTGTATTGCATGGTGGCGGAATAGTGTCCAACAGCACACTCAAAAATCAACCATATTTTGTAAACATACTGTCTGGAGTATACTTAATTTGAATACTTTGACAGGAATTTCAGTCAGGCTTTAGAACGTACCACAGCACTGAAACAGCTCTTACTAAAATAATCAGCAACCTCGCACTAAATTCAAATGAAAATAAGGTCTCAATCCTTGTCCTCTCCGACGTACCTACGTCATTTGATACAATTGACGATGATATCTAAATGAATTGTCTTCAAAAGTTGGTTGGTCTTTCAGACTGTGTGTTAAACTGTTTCAAAACATACAATACAGAAAGAAAGTTTTACATTACATTTTGTTTTGGGGTTTCAAAAGGGAGCTATGGTCCAATATTATTCTCAGTATATATACAACCACTTGGTGACATCATTAGAGAACCCGACTATGTTTCCATAGTTATGCAGATGACACGCAACTGTACATCTTTGCTGAACGACGTTATGCTGTAGCTATTAACTCCATAACTAGGTTTGTAAATAAATAAATGGATGAGGAATCATTTCTTAAAGTTAAACGTTGCTGAAAACTGAAATCCTACTCATCCAAATGCTGTTTAATAATCTGGGTAAATTAATTTCCTGTATTAAATCTGATCATACATTGATTGGTGTTTTCCTAGATCAGGTTATAAACTTCAAGCCCGATTGAATTTAGAAACACAGTTAAAGTGCAACAATTTATAAATCAAATATATGCTGAAAAACTTGATTCATGCCTTTATTTCAAGCCTACTTGATTACTGTGATGTACATTTTAATGGCCTCCCCCCCAAAAAACAGAGAAACTTCAGTTCATTCAAAGCTCTGCAGCTTGCCTATTAACCAGAACCAAGAGGAGAGAGCACATTAAACCAGCCAAGGATAAAGAGGCAAATACCAGCCAACAGAGAGCTATGCTGGAGCTAAATCATTCAGTTAATGGCATTTCACCGGCATTGTCAATACAGAAAGGATGCCTTGCTATTGCTCTGTGTCACCACCTTATTGGCTCCCAGATCATGAAGGGGCTTTTAGTTGCGTGGAGACAGATGAAGGGAAGAGAAAAACAAGACAAAGTAAGATCTTAGGAGAGAAAAGGCAAGAGAGAGAAGAGCAATGTTCAAGTTGCAGCTCAGTTGGGCAACTCACAATTGCTTCTTTGCTAAAGCTCAACATGCAAGCACACAACATGTATGTGCATACACACACGGTATTCACAAACAGTAAACATGAACAGGTGTCAGACCCTCTCAGCAGCTTTGGGATACTCGGAGTCCTTGAAATGCCTGTGATGACTCTTGAACTCTGTGTCTACGGTTTCCCTTCCAGGACTGGCTGAGCAAGTTTGGCTACCTCCCGCCCCCTGACCCAGTGACTGGTCAGCTTCAGACCAAGGAGGCCCTGACCAATGCCATCAAAGCCATGCAGAAGTACGGAGGGCTGAAGGAGACCGGAGTCTTAGGTATGTGGCTGTGTTTGTTTAGGCGAATCATGTGGGTAATAATGATAATTATTATTCAATCCAATCAAGAACACCACCAACTATAGTCTTCCCTCCTCTTTAGACCAAGCCACGCTGGGCCTAATGACAACGCCCAGATGTTCTTTACCAGATGTCTCTGGGGCCGAGGTGACAGTGGGCCGCAGGAAACGAAGCCCGACTCCCCAGAACAAATGGAACAAGAGACATCTGTCCTGGAGGTAGGAACAATGACGTATAAAGTCTGATAGACGCCATGTTGATACCGCTATAATACGGTAAGCAACGGGTGGGAAAATGAGCTGATTATAAGTGCAGGACCTACACTATTTACCCCTTATGGTGAAAATACACATGTTCATTAAAAACCGATCATGGTCATATTATTTGGGTACTCCAGAGCTGATGTTGTGATTTTCAGCATCATTTGTTTATTGCATATCAGATCCGTTTATCTGAGCCCCATGCAGTTCTGTAGATTAGAGGACTCTTCCTCAAGCCGGAAATATTTTGCTCTCTGGATCAATTGTGTCTCAAAGGAAAGACATTTTGTAAACTAACTGATTAGAGAGACCTTTAACTGACAACAAACGCGTCTGTCTTCTCAGTAAAAGACTGCGATACCATTAAACTTATGATAAAATGTTGTTTTAAGCAATTCTAGTACAGAAAATCCAAGTACAGAAAATCCATGATTGATTTTTACATTAATTGGATCCATTCTAAATTCATGCAGTTCTACTGCAATTATATTCCACTGGAAATATAACTCAACTCTATCTTAATTATAATGAATTCCTAAGGTTACCCAGAGTCACTCCGAAAACGTATCAAAACAGTAAAAACCATAGAAACTTCCCGAAGCACTCCTGCAACATAATCCATCTCTCTGGTGTTTATCCCATGTTCAGAACCTGCAGAGCCGGGCCTCTGCATACTACAGCTGAATGCATTACTACCTTCTCACGCCATCGCCTGCATATATATCTCAAAAGCTCCGACAGAAGCAGTGCATTTAGTTAATCTATTGGAAAAAAAGAGGATTATTTAAAATATACTAAACATGACGATCAACAGAAGAAAAGTAGGTAATGCTGCAGAAGGGCTTCCTGTGGATTGGATCATGTGACTATGTTTCACTGTTGGATTCATTTTCAACTGCCGTGAATCCAAGCTGCGAACAGCTTCCGTCTTCCACAAGAAACAGCACACAAACTTTTTAGAGCCACCTTTTGTGCCTACAGGTGGTGAAAGAAGAAAGTCAAGTGTATGATTCCCAAAGAGCAGAGGCTCTGTTACAGAGAGAAGGATTTTTTTGTAGGTGTCCCACGATAGGATAATATGGATTCATGACCACCTGAGAAAGCATAGCCTATAGTGTTAGACAGCAGAGGGGGAGGCAGTGAAACATTGTCTGTCTGTGGGGATTCACACAAGCTATCAGGGCTGATTCAACAATAATCTGCTATAAGCTGGTTTGTGTGTGCAGAATATGAATATGCACATCATTTCAGACATCAGGAGAGCCAACATACATGCATACGGTTTACATGCACATGCACACAAGCGTGTATGCATTTGCCTCCCTCCTGGTTGGGTTCAACTTTCTTTCTCTTCTTTGTACTGCTACCAATCATAAACCGTGCTCCCGTCAGCTAACTCCCCCTTGAAATAAAACAGGTTTGTCTATAGTCCAGTGAGGCACCTTTGTATTCACAGCACTCAAATTTGTGCAGGAACAGTTGTGGACGATATGCTGCAGCTTCAGAGCCAGAGCCAAAAACAAAGCATTGATATTCTGCATAGATTGGCCGTGTCTGTAATTCTCTGCTCGTGCTTTCGGTTTCTGTCATTGTCAGCTGACATTGTAGCACTCGCATAGTGATTTCCTTTCGGCTCGGTTTGGAAAATTATTTTTATCATCCAATATTTCATGGTATCTTTGCTTTATTAGATTATATGGCTGAACAGGGCTGACAGAATTGAGATAATGCTCAAAACATCTAATGAGTCAGTTGCAATCTGACAGCCATATTAAATATTAGTATTTTGATCCACCACATCAGTCAGATTAACCATTTATATTGCTGCCACATAAATATTGCATCAACATATTTTTAATCATTTCATTGTACAGCCGTGAAGGCAAGGTATATGAATAAAATTGGAGGGTAACATGATATTAGGACAAAGTTCAAAACACAGTTGACCCTTCCCTAAGTCCCTCCTCTTGAACACAGTCTTTGCAATTATAGAATAAAAGTGGCCTGCTCCGACCACGGCTGGTTTTGTGCATTTTCGAGCTAGTCATTAAATGTTGTGCCTGGGCCACGAGTAATATTGAGACTCGTTACCCGGAGAGGTTGGGAGGAAATATACGTTTCTAAAACGTTACGTTTCTACGTAAAAAAAAAACTGTGGAGCTAACATTAGCAGAGAATCATTAACTACCGTAGCTGTCTCGATCGGCAGGTGATGTTGTGGTTCTCTTTTACACTGTGATCTGGAGGCTTTAGCTTCTATCTTTATCTTTTCAACCTGTTTTTTGCTGCTGAATCCTGGATATATTCTTCAAATGCATATTACAGACTCGTCCGTCTTCTTTTCTCTGAAGTTGAATTGCCATCTTTACTAAAATTAAACGATATGTATTCAGGGAGTGCAGTTAGTGACAGTGTGGGCTCCGTGCTAGCTCTGACAGCTTGACGGAATAGCAGCAGGGGGAAACAGCATAGAGAAGGATCACTTGCTGTAGTTCCCAATGACTGAGAAGCTGACACAAAATACAATAGGTTTTTCATTATCTGATATAATTGGTTTCAACAGTACTTTTTATGCAAGACTGCACATCCAAGATCCCAAATTATTCTATTAGGATTTATGTTATAGGAGTTTTATAACAGTGTATTCACAAGTGAGTGTATGATCAATTAATTGTATACAAAGTCAACATTAATTAGAGTCATCATCTGGCAACTGTCATGTTTACAACATAATCAATTAGTTATGTTATTTACATTAAGATTGCAATCACTGAAGGAGTCACTTAGTTGAGTTACTCATCAGTCCTTCTGCCATCGCTCAGCACTGAATGGTTCTTTTGAGTCTGTGCTCATGCCACGTCGATCTGGATGAAATGTGGTTTCTTTCACACAAGAAAGAGTGGTGGCTAGCAGTGGGCAACAGGAAAGTAATTATGCTTGCGTCCCCATGCTCTAATTAAAAAAATAAATATATAGCTCTGCAAGAAGGAGCAAAGTGCAATTATGTGCAGGTGTTGGCATGCAAGGTCTGTTACTGCTCCATAGTTATATTCAGGCATTCAAATACTTTGAATAGAACTATGGCTTTCATTTGGGTATTCACAGAAACCAAGACTTTCAGGTCCTTCAACATTTAAAATGTGACACGTTATTGAGTCCCGGATCTCACAAAGGTCTGCACTGTTATGTTTAATTAGATTATTATATTAAATAACATTTAGAAGCAAAGACTTGCCCAATTTGCTGATTTAGTTCACCTTGGCACAATTGACGATGTCTGTCTGTCTGGCTGGCACTTCACACTCCTGTGCTTGTTCACACACTTCATTCACATCATTGTGTTTTGAAAATGTGCAGAGTAGGTGGTGAGTGTCAGGAGGAAAAAAAAAAGGTAAAGAGTTAGGCTAAGTAACCATTGATTTTAAGGACTGGGATTCAAGTAATGTGTTTTTTCCGCAATAGAAATATAAGTAAATTATTTTTGTGATGATGTCTGCAAGTCTTTGTGCCAGGGCTGAGCCCTTAATCCCCAATTTAACCACATACATCTTTTTCTCTTCCTCTTACACACACGTCCATACAGCACACTGCACTCAGCCCAGTTGTGTAGGAGTCCACTGTTAGCTCATTATCTCATATGTTTAGCCCATTATCACAGCAGACAGCCTGGCAGTCATTAGCAGCCCAACTGATAACTCAAACAGATAGGTGTGTAGCAAGCTGAGAAAAAAGATTGGGACGAGGATAGCGAAGAGGAAAGAAGGGAAACAAGCAGCAAACATGGAGAGTAAGATTGCATCTTTTCTTTCTGCATCTGTTTGGTCCGATACAGTGGGTGGGTTTTACTGACTAAATGCTGGATTGAAAAATCACCAACTCTCATCCGTCTCTTTCGACTTGTCATCTTTTTATTGAAGCCATTGAAGTGAGCACAGGAATGAGTGATGTAGGAACATGAACACACACTTAATTACAATGAAAATCCATCATAGATGTAAATCAGCAGTGGCATCGTGCTCTTAACATTTTGTGGCATTTATATTATTATTGTTTTAGCGTGCCCTGAAGCTCAAAGCCATTGTCTTGTGAAGCCTGCATGGTGTAGCATAGCGCTCTGAAGCCAGTGAGAATTATTTAAAAACGGTAAAGACACATTCAAAGTCCAAGGCAGGTAATGAGAATATTAAGTATAGCCATGGTCATAACTCAGCAGCAGGGGTCCATCAATGTACTAATTATAGCCATAGCTCACAGTTGTTAGTGAGTGTTAAGAAATGCAACAGCTGTATCCAATGGCACCGGTATGTTATAGTCCTAGAAGTAGCTCTGGGACTATAATAATATAAAGCTGCTAGCAGTAATGGCCACACGCTTTTTTCTCATTCTCTTGTTCCTTTGGCACCTATGAAATACTTTGAATATGTCTTCTTAATTATGCACCATGTAATACACGGGCGTATACATTTTCAGTGGAGTATTCACCAAGATCAGCAACTTGAATTAGTTAGAATTCCACATAATTTGGCATTCTGGCCTGCATTGGGAGATTTTATACAATAGCACGCCCTAAGGGCTAATCTATGACATCTATCATTCCACACTGGGGCTATGTGGCTAATAAAGAGTAAGATAAGAAACTATGCCTGAGTTACTGGTCTGATTTACTCTAAAGCCATGCTAGCAGCTCTATGAGGCTGTACTGTGCTAAACGCTAACATCAGCATGCTAACATGCTCACGATTACAATGACAACATGCTAACTTTTAGTATAATCAGCATTTTAGTTTATAGCATGCTAACATTTGCGAATTGGGGCTAAACACAAAGTACAGTTGAGGCTGATGGGAAAGGTATTTGGTCATAAAATAAAGAATTGCACAAACTCAAATTTTGACTTTGAAAACGAAAAGTAATAATAAATCTTCAGTGATCATTTTGAAATCGTCTTAGTCGGGGAA